AATGCCTAAACAGATTCCATTCCTAGGCTGTATAGCATCACTAAGTAAAGCATTGCTATTTGGAAAACGGCTGCTACTTCTGTTTGCTATCTGGAAAACGGCTATTTCCAAGTTAGTACAATTTCTCATAGTAAACATTAGTATATAATATTGCTTACATTTTCTTATACTGCTATTTTTTATGCATAATTAGCAAATTCTTATCTTCGCTGGATGTGGTCGCCATATAGAGGACATTTTCAATATCTACGTTATTTATATTCTGAAATATTGGGTCCTTTCAGATGTGGTCATCTTGTAGAGTCATTAGGTTATCTTCAAGCTGGACACATGAAAAATGAGCAATGGCCTCGCCGGGACTCGAACCTGGAACTTTTGAATACGGGCCGAGTCTGCTATTATTACACCGCGATATTTCCTCTTCCAAAGGGCGACTGGGGATTAGGGGAAATCAATCGCCAAATCCACGTGGTGAAGAATCATCGTTCACCACCTCTTAGTTCGGGCGCCACTGTAGAATCATTAGGTTATTTTGAAGCAGGAGACATGAATAATGATCATTGGCCTCGCTGGGGCTCGAACCTGGATCTCTCCAATACGCGCCGAGTTTGCTAGAGTTAGACCCCGAGGCATGCAGAAAGGAGGAACAAGATACCTTATCATCTTAAGGTAATAATATCCATACATATATTTCATGCAAGATGAATTACAAAATAAAAATGTAAGGTATTTTTCCAGCCTTCTGAGCATGCCTTTGTGGTGTAATGGTCAGCACACTCGGCGCGTATTCGAGAGGTCCGAGGTTCGAGTCCCGGCGAGAACATTGTTCATTTTTCACGTCTTTCCGAATCCAAATACGTAATGTCTCTACAGTGGCCAGTATTTGGCGATTGGTCCACTAAAAAGTGGTGGGTGATAATTCTCCACCACCAGGATTCGGCGACTGGGTCCCCTAATCCCCAGTCGCCTGTTAAAAGGAGAGTATATAAGGTATTTATCCCGCCTTCTTAGCATGCCTTCGTGGTGTAATGCTCAGCACACTTGACGCGTATTCGAGAGGTCCAAGGTTCGAGTCTCTGGACCTTTTCGAGTTCCTGGTTCGAGTCCCTGGAGTCTTCGAGGACACTGCTCATTTTTCATGTCTCCTGCTTCGAAATAGCCTAATGCCTCTATCATCGAAAATTTTCTGCACATAAAATTACCCATTTCCATTTTTCTAATGAAAATCAGCTTATAATTGTTTATCCGATTAACAAAGTAAGTATTATCCGTAATAATTCCGTCTGTATAATTTCCGAGTGATACAGAACTACTATCAACTTCCTATAAGAGTTACAACTAAGTAAGTTGCTGTAAAGTAATTGCATTTAATGGAGGTAAACACAAGCTTCTTCAAGCAGAGCACTTAACTGAAAGAGTAAAGTAATTTGACCCTGATATATTTTGACTCAGTTTATGTAAGCCAATTATGGCTCCACCGCTCCGAAAGGAAACAGAATTATGAAACAATGTTGCCTTAAAGGCGGCGAGACACTTCTTCATCTTATTCCACCTCACCACTAATCTTCCAGTTCTCCATCCTATTCCCATCATATCACATGTCACTAATAAGCACGGAACGATAAGCGTGATTAGCGAAGACGTCATCACGTCTCGCTTCTTGTCCCTTCTGGTTATGAGTCTTAGAAAAATAAACGCCATATCAATTCATATGGGTTTTGTGGACACCACGCACAGAATAAAAATGCCCTTTTCCGCCTTATTGAAGGAAAAGAAAACTAGAAATGCCAATGGAAGTAGCATATCAAGATTGTATGTTGTCGCTTAGAAAATTGCAATTGCAAAAAATTGCATACGATGTTGAAAGCATATTTCGGTTCACAGAAAGATTTGTTTGCATTACTCGATAAACAATCGTGTTAACTTGCACAGTTATAAGCTATTTCTCTCGTCTTCTTAGCGTGCTTTCCTGGTGTGGTGGTCTGCACGCTACGCACGTTTTCCAGAGGTCCGTGGTTCGATTCCCGGCGAAGGGGTTGCTCACTTTTTACTTCTGCTGCTTTAAAAAAAATACTTAAGTGGCGCCCGAACTAAAAGGGTGGTGGATGATGACTCTTCACACCCAGGATTTGGCGATTGGGTCCACTAAAATCGCACTCGCCCTTTAGAAGGGGGAGTATATCCCGCCTTCTTAGCATGCCTTCGTGGGGTGGTTGTCTGCACGCTGGGCGCGTATTCCAGAGGTCCGTGGTTCGATTAACGGCGAAGGCGTTGCTTATTTTTCCATCTATCATACTTCGAAATAATCTAATGTTTCTATAGAATCATTAGAATTTTCAATGTCATGAAACTGAAGAAATGAGCAATGTCCTCACCGGGACTCGAACCCTGGACCTCTTCAATATGCACCGAGTAAACCGTTACACCACGAAGACATGCAGAAAGGAAAAAGAAAATACCTTATATCGATAGAACCTTATATACTCCCCCTTTTAAAGTGCGGCGAGGGATGAGGGGACCCACTCGCAAAATCTTGGTGGTGAAGAATTATCATCCATCTTTTAGTTCGGGCGCCACTGTAGGGCCATTAGATTTTTTCAATGTTATGAAACTGAAGAAATGCCCTCATAAGGACTCGAATCCTGGACCTCTCGAATACGCGCCGAATGTGCTAACCGTCACACCACGGAGCCATGCAGAAAGGAAGGAAAAAATACCTTATATCGATCGAACCTTATAGATTAATCTAAAGAAACTAAGTATAAAACAATTTATATTTTCTTAAATTACATGAGAAATTGGTTTGGATATTCCTTTTCCTTGTTATATACTTCATAAGTGTCGTCCAGACGGAAAAGTGGTTATCGACGCGGACCGCCCCACAAAAGGAAGCTTTTCCGAATCTCGGAGAAAGCATGGACGTTTGTAAATGTATAGTATCTGTGCGGCATGGGGTCACTCAAAATATGCGGGAAGCTAAAAAGGTCTCTTGAGTAGCTCCGATAGGCGAAGAGGGGCGGAAGACACTCGGAACCGCCCCCACAGGGTACTTGATGAAACTAAATGTTTACTCTAGAATATGGTAAAAATAAAAAAAAAAAAAAAAAAAAAAAAAACTTTAAATTATAAAATTTGTATAATAATTATTCATCTTTTAATGTTTCAATACGACTCGTCAGAGGGTAGTAATAAATTCAACTATTTTAAATGCTTGAATTCATTACTACCATCTGACGCTAAACAATTAAAGAGAACTGGAAACACGTTTTTTTCCCTTTCGAAGGAGTTGACAAAGTGGCACGTGAAAATCCGAGTGTCTGCGCTATTTTTTTAGTGGAGTGACCCATTCGACCCGCTTCTACCATTTAGCCAAGAGCAAATGTGCTTAGATCCGCACCAGCTGTGTTCACACGACAGTATAAAGGGCATAAGTGGTTTAAGTCGAGTGGCGTTGCCAGGAAACCAGTCTGTGCTACGTCACAAAATGTGGTTTAGGACTCTTGGCATAAAGTTGGAAGTTTTCAACTTTATGTCGACTTATGATAAACGTCGACCCATCAGAGTGAACGCGCGAAACCTGAATAGGAAAACAGAACGGCCACATCCACGCATGCGCAAATTAGCTTCTGTAAGTGGATGCGGCTTAGACCCTGTGTCGCGGTTGAGACGGAATTCCCGCATTTTATTCCCTATGACTATGTGACATTTACATTCGCCAAATGAACGCAGCCTTATAATCATTTTACTTTTGACTATTACTGATACTGTAAGCAGTACTTCTGCTTACATCATTGGCAAGTCACTTGCAGACTTGCGGACGGTTCGAAATTTGCATAACGTCAGCTATTCCTAATACATTTGCTCTTGAGTGTATTATTTTTACCGCTGAAACTAGTTGTAAAAAAATCTACAGAAATTATTAACTTAAACAGTTTTAAAGAATATAATTTTTTAAGAGGAAACATGCGAGGATAAACACCTAAATGCTTTTGTTTTTATAAACAAAAGGAAGCATGGGAAAAACAAGTAATATAAAAAGAAAAAATTAAAGTCAATTCCTACGTAGGCCAACAAAGAAAAATGTTATTAATTATTTAAAATTTATTATTAATTTTTTTTAATTTAAAGTTTTATTTTAGTTACTTTTTATTAACATTATTAATATTTTTTCGTTTCTAATTGATGAAGCTGATGGTGGTCTATAATTTCTCATTCTATCCATCTTTTATAGTACTTCATTACTGCATAGTACCTTTCCAGTGAGTTTCGAGCTGTCCTGTTCATCCATTAATATTCCATCTAACGATTTCACAGGACTCGAGGCGACCTATGCTTGACCTGCTGCGAAGAGGTTTTGGCTTAGATTACTGCATAAGGTACAGTGCTATTTATTTATTTTGAAAAGCAAGGGACATTTTAAAGGGCTATATTTTAAACATGTATCATTATCACGTTAACACAGAAATATGAGAAGAACTTTCGCTACATAATGGGACTTTCCATCCGCTTCATCCGACTCTGTAAAACTACAATTCTTTAATTCCGTACACTTTAAAAATCTTGAGAGCTCTGTCTTACTGTTGCCACTTATTTTTGTTAGATTTTACAATCCCATTGATCACAGTCATGTACTATTGCTTATGAAATTAATTTTTACGCACGTGAGAATTTCTAATAAACGGTCATTATTTGTAAGTCTTATAGTATATTTATTGAATAAAAACAGCGGATCTTGAGTTCCGATAAACAGGAATCAATAAGTAGGAACTGACTTTAATATGTGAAAAAACTGCATTAACATCGAGTGTCATCCACTCCAAGTTAAAAAAAAAATGTATTTGAACTTGAGTGGACGAATAAAAAGTATTTTATTAACGAGTGAAAATTTGAACAAGATATAAGGAGAGTGTGAGCTAATAATAGTGGAAATTTAAAAAAGAAAAGTTAGCAGTCTTGCTGATACAATTATTATTAAATTAACAAAGTAATGCAAAACTTACCTGGACGCATCTATGAAATAAATTATTAAAGAAGCTATACTGAGAAGAAACACCAGCACCACCTAAAAAAACAATATCCAGAATTACTACACATGAAGACAACCATTTAACACATGTAAAGCAATACAGATTAAAATACCGTTTTTGAAAATAATAATCGAGCTTTGACAGAGAAATTACTTGTTTGAATACAGTAAATCGAACGTACGGGTTTTTCATTTGAATTCTTGTTGCACGAAAACTTATAAGGTTCTTCCCTCGTCTTCTTGGCATGCCTTCGTGGTGGGGTGGTCTGCACACTGGTCGCGTATTCCAGAGCCCTGCGGTTCAGTTCCCGGCGAAGGCGTTGCATATTTTTCATCACTCTTGCTTTAAAATAAATAACCTAATGTCTCTACAGTGGCGCCCGAACTAAAAGGGTTGGGGATGACGATTCCCCACACCCAAGATTTGGCGATTGGGTCCCCTAAAAATCCCCAGTCTCCCTTTAAAAAGGGGGAGTATATAAGGTATTTCTCCCGCCTTCTTAACATGCCTTCGTGGTGTAGTGGTGTGCACGCTTGGCTCGTATTTCCAGAGGTCCACCGTTCGATTCCCGGCGAAGGCGTTGCCAATTTTACATCTCTCTTGCTTAAAGTACTTAATGTCTTTACAAACTGACTTACGAAACTAAATAAAGAATATTATAATGTATTGTTTCCTCCGCACGGCTTCGTAATAGGTTGAATGCACAAGTACGATAATAAGTTAATAAAATTATTCTTATCACAAGAAATACAATGTCGCCCAGATGGTATAGTGGTTAGGGAAACCTACCACGGCACCTAAGGGCCTGGATTCGAAACCCGGAGAAGACATAGATGTTTGTAAATGTATAGTGTCGGAGCGGCATGGCGGCACTCTAAATATGCGGCGAGCCGAAAGTCCTCTCGTGTCGATTGGTGAAAGGGGAGAGAGGTGCGAGGCCCCCGATACCCCTGGGGTGCTATCCCTCAAAATGAATTAGTTCTTTTTCCACGATTCCTCTTTCGCGTTTTTCAAAATTCTTCCTGTTCCCGTGAAATCGGCGACTACAGTCCCCCATCCCCACTGCTCTTGAGGAGATGTCACAATGAGCCATTAAGAAGAGCTGGATTAGACTGAAGAAGATTGTCATTAGATCGAAGACATCTCTTAGTTTAGGCTCCTCTCGAAATCTTTAATTTCATTTTATTTGGAATTCTGGTACAATGTTAGCTGTTATTTTCACATCTTATATTAATCAGTATGGACATTTTAGACATTTAAATGGAAATAAAAGGAAAAAAAAAAAAAAAAAAAAACCTTTAGCCCTTTATAAAGGTTATCAACATCGAATTCGGAATGGAACTAAGGAAAATGTAGGTATTTGTATTTGCATAAGTGAAAGAATTAAAAGCTGCAAAGGCGCAATTAAGACCAAAGCAGAAGTCGTTTTAGAAGAAAAAACGTCATTTTAGAATAACGTTTTAGAACGAATATTTATTCTGAAAGGTTTTATTATAACTCACCTTTATGCAGAATTTTGGAAGAATATTTTTTTTTTTTTTTTTTTTTTTTAATATTAGGAAACGATCTTTTAGTTCATTGCAAAAAAATCATCGCAGAGTCTGAACATCGAGAGTCTCTTCTCTTTTAAATGCAGTATTAGCTTCATTTATACAAGTATCTGAGATTGTAAATATTTTTCAATTATTTCTTTTAAAAATTCTTTTTTAAAAATCTAAAATTTTTTTTGCTTTCGAGAGAGACCAATGTCCAGTCAGCCCCCCCCCCCACACTGTGTAGCCTCTTTGAGAAGGAGGTAATGAAAATTGATGATTTCGCGGAAACAGGAACATTTTTGACAACCGAGAAAACATCTATGTCTGTATTGTTTTATCTTTATCTATTTTCAGATACATTGTGCAGAAATATTTGGTAATTGTAAAATTATTATAATAAGTTTAAAGTAAATACCCTGAAGATTGGAGACGGAAAATAGAAGTTTAACCTCTTTTCGGAGTAGGCTCTGGCCACCACTGTTCCATGTAATATGAACAAAACAAGAGCAAGAAATATAACAAAACGCTAGAATTTTCCTCAGAGATGTTCCTACAAGTGTTCACGATATCAGGCAGTAATAATCAGTACAATGCAAACACGTTAAATAGAACGTAATACAACCCGTAACTATACTTTAAACTAGAGTTTCTTAAACCTTTTTCAGTCGCGACCCCTTTTTATCGCTGAAATTTTTTAGCGACCCCCAGGACCCAATAATATTTACAAAAATTTTCTGGGACCCCATAAGTATTGCGCAAATCTGACACATTCGCGAGAGAAACTGTTGAATTTTCCCTTGTACTGTAATATAGTATTGCAGTTTTCGGTCATTAACTTTAATTTCTAAATTTAAGACATAAAACAATGTGAAAATTTTAAATAAGTAACGACGAAATGACAGCGTCACGTGCAAAACAAGGAAAATGAACGTTTATATTGTAAAAAGAATGCGTCGAAATGTTTTCAATTTTTTCTATGTCTGTATTGTTTTATCTTTATCTATTTTCAGATACATTGTGCAGAAATATTTGGTAATTGTAAAATTATTATAATAAGTTAAAGAAATATCAAAACTGATAAAATTTTTGGCGACCCCTTGCTGCAGGTTTCGCAACCCCCTCGGGGGTCACGACCCACAGTTTAAGAAACTCTGTTGTTAAAATAGAACGCAGTTCAAAGAGAAAGCTACAGTTCGCGCGGAACTAAAACAAATCACAATAACAGTAGTTAAGTAACTGAGCTGAGATATTATCTCTTTGGCTTTTTATAGCTTTTAATCGGTGGCGAGTTCTGGTAATTTCTTTACTTCTCGAGATTTCTGGAAACCAACAAGAGGATGGAATTACAGTTACAGCTAACACAGTAGTCAATCACATTTATTTAATTTCAATACAATTTAAAGAGATATCAATTTATTCAATGTTAAATGCTCGTGCTCTTATATTTTTACTTTTTCTGCGTAGCTTTCTCTTAAAATTTATCAGCCGTTGCACTATATGGAGAAATAAAACAATTTAATTTATAATTCTACTAAAACTACCTAACTGAATATAAAATTCGTAACAGTATTAAGAAATGACATTTTATTAGACGAGAAATCACAAGTAATTCACAATTTGATATGAAAGCCTATCATCCTCTTCCATGTTAAATAAGCCGAGAATTTTTTTTTTTTTATTTCTTTGTTCTGTTAGCTTATAAGGTATTTCTCCCGCCTTCTTAGCATGCCTTCGTAAGTGTAGTGATCTGCACGCTGGACGCGTATTCCAGAGATCCGTGTTTCGATTCCCGGCTAATTCCTTGCTGATTTTTCATCTCTCCGGCTTTCAAAAAGTCCTAATGACTCTACAGTGGCGCCCGAACTAAAAGGGTCGTGGATGGAGATCCTCCACACCCAGGATTTGGCGACTGTGTCCCCAAAAATGCCAGTCACCCTTTAAAAGGGGGCAGTATATAAGGTATTTCTCCCGCCTTCTTGGTGTGCCTTCGTGGTGTAGTGGTCTGCACGCTCGGCGCGTATTGCAGAGGTCCGCGGTTCGATTCTCGGAGAAGGCGTTGCTCATCTTTCATGCTTCCAAAAAATCCTAATGTCTCCACAAGCTTTTCTCTTCCTTAATCCTGGCACCTCTTCAGTCGATGTAGTAAGATTAAAAACCTATTCAGCAAAAGTGGTGACTTCATTTTTAGTTTCGATCCAATTTTCGTATCATACTGTTAAAGGAATCCTTAAGTTTTTTAAAGAACTAATTTAAATGGTAAAAATCTATTTCAATAAAAGCTTTACTGTCCAGAAAACTGGGCAGATGTCGAATACTGGAAAATTCCGATTTGGTTTGGTTTAGGTGATTAGGGCAAAACATCGAAGGCTTTTAGGATTTTCTAAGGGAAACTGGCTTGTATGCACGTTATACTTGGCAAAAACAACGAAAGCGCTCATGCAGCCAGCTCGTCCGCGGAATTCGTACCTCAGGCCGAATTACCAGTGTTCAGCGACTTTTCCGCTTGGCCGCTGGTGGGCCTTGAAAATTCTGGATACTTGAGCATATAAAAAACGCAATTCACGGAGGAGATGGCAAACGAATAGAAGAAATTACCAGTCAAAAATTGTAAAACCAGTCATCTTATATATTATAAACTTATAGAGAGTGCGTCAGAAAAATGTATACACACTTTGAACTCTCACAGAAAATTTATTTTCGAACCTACCAAGGTGATATTTCTCTGAATAGTAAGGCTAAAGTCCAATTTCAAAAATAAGTTCAAACTTAATGTTCTAAATGATGTTTAAAGTAAATATTCAAACGGTAATCTTCAGCATCGATATAGTGCTGAGTACGAGTCAGGACGACTGATTCCGTACTTTGCATCAAAATGTCCAATGGGATTTTGAGGAATGAGATTTCTTATTCACCTTAGGATGAAATTCAAGCGATGTGCACTTAATATATCGTTATATATACATACGATACATAAAGTGAATCAATGCAAAATCATGTTTTGAGACTCGTATGTCGCTTGGGCTAAAAAAATATAGCAAAAGAATTATTTTAAGTGGGCTCATACACCTTAAACCCCTTATGATCTTCAAATATGTGACTGTTGCAAGAATTGGAATATTTTATTTATTTTAAAAGCAATTACGTCCAACGTTTTACAGCTGACTACATAATATGGCTGCTTTGGAAACTAGTAACCAGAAAGTTCGTGTTGCCACAAATATTTTTGTAATTTAATCCGCTTTGTGACAAAATTTTCCTAATTTTTCAACACTGCGCGCATGATATTATTAAAAATGGCTAAAGGTACACACTTGAAATTGGATGGAATTCTTTATATGGGCACTATTTTCTAACTGAACCAAAAATCTGATAAATATTTTTATTATTAAAAAATTGTATGGACGAAACCATTACCGAATTTTTAAATAAAATACGTATTATAAACTCAACTCCAAATAAAATAAAAATTTAACAGGAAATTCTTAGAATTTTTGGTTCAA